GGACTGCAGTCCGTCGGCGCATGAGCCACGATGACGAACAGACAGAGCTTTCTTGTCCCATTACGAGATGCATTCACCGATCCCTTCAGACCGATGGCGCAGAGTCGACTATTGATTGGAATCCAGTCAAGTAAAACTGCTTCTGCACGGCCTCTGCCATCGGATCTCCGGAGAGGCGGAGAGTGAACGAGCTTGCAGAATCCGGGGACGGTAAAACGAGTTGCAGTGCTCGAATCCTGTAGCCGTGTCTCGGTAAGGCAGCAAACGTCCATGGAAAGCGTTTCCAGTGTGCGATTGAGTGTTGCCTGAGCCCCAACTTGCATAAGTGTTCGAACGTTGAAATTCCCCAACTTCCTCTGCGACGGGGGCGCGAGTACTTTTTTCGGAATAACCTGATCGGAAGCTTGTTTCTTTTTCGNCTTGAGCAACACACTGTTGGAGACTTGAAATAATGGGCGGTGAACCGATAATAGGAAAGTTCAATAATTGAGGAAGGGAAAGAGTGTGATCTGTTGGTGTGGTAACGTGGAAATCTGTGGAGCCGGCCGCCAACACCTCGGTCAAAGAGCGCATAGTTAGTTAGAGCCAAAAATTCGGAAATGTATGTGTTTCATAAGTTGTGTAAGCATGTTAATTCCCGGTTGCCCTGACCGAATAAGGGGGATAACCTCGGGGTCTCCACCCGAAGCCTTTGAATAGATATCATGATCTGCAAGACAACAAGACGGCACTCAAAGTCCGCAATCCATTAGGGGCCGGTGTCCGATTCATCGGATCCTACGCCCTTCGGACGAGATTAAACGTCCAAGGTGCCCAATACACCTCGATGCCCAATAGAACCGGTGACCGTGTCACGACCAGAAAGATGTGAGTGGTTCGTGCGCCTCTCCTTAGTTGGTTTGGAATCAGGGTTTTTAGCCATCTCCCCTAGGTGAACTGCCAGTTGTTCACCGACCTGGTTATAGCCTCAGATTTCGGCTTTTCGTCCTCTCACTTTGGTGGGAAAAACATCTCCGCCACGGGAAGGCAGTGAGTTTGGCTTCCTCAGCAGAGGCTATTTGAGACGCTTGGTCATATACGAGCATTTCATGAGGTGCAAGGGAGGGTGACCAGCCGCAACCCAAGATACCCACCCCCAACCATACTAAGGCTTTCAAGAGACGTGTACTCGCCAAGCGACTCCGAGAACACCTCCTTCCGAACAATCTTCTGTGCCCGGAGCAGCATGGGTTCCGTTCGCAGAGATCTTGCGTCTCGAATTTGCTACTTGCTCCGGAGCAATCGGCGTCTTCCAAGGCCGCTGGCCACGAATTTGACGTCATCTTCATTGACTTCAGCAAGGCTTTCGACAAGGTGCCACACGGACGGTTGTTGAAGAAGCTGAAGGCTCATGGTGTTGCAGACTCACTACTATCCTCGTCAAGCGGATGTTTAATGTCAGATTTACCCAGACCAAGTTGCGTCGCTATCCTGTCACAAGTGGATTTTCACAGGGTTCTGTCCTAGGACCTGTTCTGCTCCTTTTCTTCGTGAATGACCTGCCCTCTCGGTTAAACTCATCTTGCCTGCTCTACGCAGATGATGTGAAACTGTGGAGAATCATGAGAACACCGTAGGACCACCATGCCCTCCAAGAGGATTTGGACAAGTTACTCCACTGGGCTGATGTCTGGGAACTTCCAGTGAATTCGTCGAAATGCGCTCATATGCACCTGGGACGCGAGACATCGGACATCCCTTATCTGATGAACAACGTCCCACTGCGTTCGACGGCTACTGAGCGGGATTTGGGGGTCATCTCCTCATCCATGAAGACCTAGATGAACACCGTGCGAGTATGTTATGCGGCAAGGAGCATGCAGAGTGCAATCCGTCGGTCGTTTGACGGACTGTCGTTCACGGCCTTCAAGAAGCTGTTCAATTCCCATGTTCGCTCTGGCTTGAATACGGTGGACCCGCTGTATACTCCTGCACGCTTTCCAAAATGGTCAACTTGGAACGGGTACAGCGCTACGCCCCTCGCCTAGTCGTGGGATTAGCTATGAAGGTCGGCTTCAGGCTCTTGAACTCCACTCGGTTAACTACAGGAGACTCCGCGGGGATTTGATCTATCTGTGTGGCGATCCGGGACCAGAACTACGTGCTGTGTTTCCACTGCGAGACTGCAACCGGACGCGCGGCCACAGGCTCACCCTCCGGAAGCTGGAGTTGACGGGTTTTCATTTGGTTTATCGCCTTTCCTGGAGGACGAATTCTCTCTGGAATTCACTCCTGTTGGAGGTGGCGGAGGAGCAGAATGAGACGCGATTCAAACGCCGTCTCGACGAGCACTTGGTGAGACGGTGGCAGCTTGTAGACTACTGAGCGGGTTGCTACCGGTACCGGCGGCGATAAGACCATACGAAGCGCGGTCCCTCTGCCTTCTACACATGAAAATGAAGATGATGAAGACGTCATAAATCCCATCCCAAAGGTGCGTCCTTACGAGACTCTCCGGGACGCCGTTTTAACTGGTACCGGCTTATCCACCCAAGAAAAAATTAGGAAGAACAACCGGTTAGTTAAGGGAAAGTATATTGTCCCTTGAATCTACCGGAAGTGTAGCCTGACTACGCTCGAGAGTATCTGAAAGCGAAATGCTTAGCAAGCAGTGTAGCACTGAACTCACGCACCGTTTAATGTGAAGTTACTTCACCGGAGGTGGTAGTGACTTAACCAAAGATAAAAGACCTAGCTGAAGAAGCGGTCTCAGGATATCGAAGACCCTGGCGGAATCCATGCTACACAAGCGAGATGCTCCAAGCAACCTTGCGGAAGCATATATGCGGAACAGGCAGACCAAAGATGGTGACGACTCTCGAGCATGTTAAACAGTCGCTCTGAAGTCACTAAAATTATATTTCGCATACGTCTGACGCCAGGCTGCTTCCCCAAACAAATCATAATACAATATTATTAATGAAAATTATTAGGAATAAGAATAAATTAGAAATATACGGGCGTACAACATGTTCCGTTCTTCAAGTATTCAGCTCTAGGAAGCCCAACTGTAATGGCCGGATAAGGAAAGTATGTGGGTAAATGTATGTGCAGTGGTGCATGTATGTATGTTGGTATGTAGGTAGAAAATTAAATTAAATGTGCTCGTGGTAGTTGTAGCTCTATTGTAGCGTGCTACATTTCGGAAGAATACAGAAGGGTGTATATGCAAGTCTGTCGTTGTGTTCATGCATTTAGGCGAAATGACCATGTACGCTGTCATCGCACGAGCGGAGTGTTGAACTTATGTGGGTATCTTTCTTTTACCGCCCCTAAAAATAAGCTCTATCTTTCTTACACATTCCCACTTACCTTGGGTGCATTATGAATTTGACAGCGATCGGTCAAGTTTGCTTAAATGTATCACACTATACACTGATGATGATGAATATGCGTGTATCAGCAACCCATCCCCTTGCAGCTCGAAGCCTAAAGGAGCACTCGATCCCGACAACCCAGGAAATAGGACTTCTCCTGGGGTGAATCCCATGCAGGAGTATCATTCGCAGTTGCAATTCCATGAGAACATCTGCACCCTCAGTGGAGAAAACAGTCATAGCCGCAGACCTGACCTGAGCTTTCAGATATATGGTGCTGCCTTAAGGCCTGTGAAAGCAGTTCAACCTCTAATACCCTGTGATTCTTGAGAACCCAGCTAAAGTCAGGAACTCACGCACCGTTCAAAGTGAAGAAACTACACCCTAGGTGGTATTGACTTGAGCAAAGATTGAATTACTAGCTAGAGAAGCAAAATCACGATATCGATGATACTGGTGGAATCCATGCTAAAAAAGAAGAATCCACGAGCGATTACTTCAAACAACTAATGCCTGAAAACACGAGAAAGTATACATACAGAAAATCGTATATATATATATATATATATATATATATATCAGTTCAGTTTGTACGACTATTAACCATGCACTTGTGTGCGCCGATTTTGGTTGCTGTCTTTTAGCTGCCCATTTGGTAGGAGAAAGAAAAGAAAGTTGAAAGTAGTCCATTAGAAAATGGAGAATTTCAGTGGACTAATGTTGCATTGAAATTGAGAAAATGAGCGAAAGCATTTGTTCAAACACTGTTGGTGTATCCAAAAGACTGCAACTAGTTGGTTGGTTATACTATATGATATAACAACGAACAGACAGCTTTGGATTTCTTATTGTCACTTCTTATCAGATCAGGAGGTTCACAAAGTTTCGTATGCACATTTATTTATCCTGTGTGTTGACCATAGGAGTTCCCTTTCTCGTCACCGTCCATTAAAACGGACTCAACCCCCGCCACGGTATAGGTTCTTACTTCTTGAGTGCATATTTTGAGTTTAGTCGAAATTGGTTTATTTCTTTTTTGAGTATCTCTGTTCGATGATGATGATAACACCACTTTCTGTATTGAAGTTTGTTGTCATTTTTATCCTCTAGTTTTAGCCGCTGAGTTGAAAACCGGTCATTAAGGTTTTCAGTCATTTCTCCATTTAGATTCTCCATAATGAAGAAACCTCAAAGATTGGCTGATGGAGCACTTCGCTGTCTGGGTCTTCTCTTGTTGGTTTCTTCTCTGGAGTCAACACAGTTCGAGAAGGCCATCTACCATTATCTACCCGAGAAAAGTCTTTCATATTGCTCTCGAAAACTGAATGCCTCACATCAGATAGGCTGTTCCAGCAAACTTGGTGGTTCAGTCGGTGTACTCTGGATAGCGAATCAGAGTGATGAAGTTTCTCAAATTGTCTCAAAGTCGGAAAATATCGTATTGGCTGTTGATTTACATCTTTTTACCAACACATCTCTTATGCACGAAGTTCGTTCATCTGTGGCAATTGCTGGACTTCTTGTATTCGCCTCATCTGCAAGTAGCACTCCGCCCATGTTTTCTGAGTCTTCGGACTGCCCGAATGCTCCGTACAGTTTGTACGGATCAGAACGACAATGCAACGTGACCCCATCCTGGAACCCCCCTGGTTCTGAGTATGCATTGGTTGAATGGCCGTTCCCAGTTGTCTTGATCCAAGATCCAAATAGCACCTTGAAGGTAAATAATTTCTGACCAAGTGTGTTATCACACACACGTCATTTCAACAGGTTGACCTGTCCAACTGTTTCCAGCAGTTCAATGCGCAACCTTTAGACGACAGTAGGTGCGCAGTAGAAATCAACAATGGCATGTCCGCGGTGCATTCGACCACAGTTTGCAATCGACGGCAATATTTAATGTCCCTACAACCATTCAAGGTAAATACTTTTACATTGTTTCTTGGAGCATCAACTTTGGATTTCCACATTTGCATTGTCGTTAATTATTTACATTAGGGTTTAGTTCATCAATCTCATCTTGAAGCATTTCGATCCATCTGCAGCAAATAAACATGATAATTAGTTATGCTCACTTAAATTATTCATAAATCCTCTAAACATTTTCGAGTGCTTAATTCAAATCAATTAGGCCAACCAAATTAAAATCCCTGCACCGTCATCGTCAGTTAATCTCGTCGTACTGCTGGATTTTTATCAGTCAGTATAATGAATTATATTATTCGCGCATCTGAGTCCAGACTGTATGCCAAGTAAATCATGGTGTGATAATCTTTATAACAACCAAACAGGTTCAGTTTTCAATTTTTACAACCATTAACCATGCACTTTCGTGCGCCGGTTTTGGTTGCCCATTTGGCTAAAAGAGCGAAATGAAGATTGGAATGTTGAAGCAAATTCAAGCGAAAGATGGGGAATACACATAGAATGGTTCTAGGAAATAACGAGTGGATGCACGAGCGCCAGTGTTTGCGAAATACATGCAGAGTGGTGTTAGAAAAATAACGAGTGGATGCACGAGCGCCACTGTTTGCGACACCCTGCCATATCACTCAGTGTCTCTAACCGTCGGTGACCATCATCCCGAGGTCCCCAGCCAGGGGGCCCAATGCGGCCTATATGACCTAGTCTCCTGGTTAGGGTTTTCATACCCTCGTGCCAGGTCTCAGCTTGACCGCCCTTCGTTTTTTCCAATCGCTACCAGCATTGGCAAACATCGTTCGCCGTGGCAACCTATCTGGTGACATGCGTAACACATGTCCCAACCAGCGTAATCTATAGAGGTCGATAACTTGCTCTAGTGGATGACCGCGACTGCCTAAAACTGTACGCCTAACCTCAGCATTGCTAGTGGCACGTGCAACGCTACGTAGACAGGGTGTTCGAACACCGACAATCTATTTTTATCCTGTTCCTTTAGTGGCCAAGTCTCTGCACCGTAGAGCAGAACTGGCCGAACTGCTGCAGCATACACTCGATCCTTCACGGACAGCCGGATGTCGCGACGGCGCCAAAAATGTCTCAAGTTGGCGAATGCCAATCGAGCCTTTTGTATGCGCGCCGACACTTCATCTGTGATACGTCCGCCGGGTGAGATATAGCTGCTTAGATAGCAAAATTTGTCTACTTCCTCTACTACTTCCCCAGTTAGGGTGAGACTGGGCGCTGGACCAACCCAAACTTGGAGTAACATTTTACACTTGAAGGTGCAAAACGCATACCGAACACGGCAACGCTAACACTCAAACTATCCAGAAAAGCTTGCAACTTACCTGGATCGTCACTTAGTGGCACAATGTCGTCTGCATACTCTAGACCAGACAGTCTGCCACCCGGAAGTAAATCGATACCGCTATCCTTGCAAGAGGATAGGGTTGTTTCAAGAATTAAATCTATGACAAAGTTAAATAGGTCCATGGTTTTGTAGTTGGTGGGATACTGTCAGGTCTTCGAGGCCAAGGTAGGGGTATTTTCTTGGGAGTTCACAACCATAGTCTTTGGTTAGCCGAAACCTGGCTCGCAAGACAGTGAGGGGTTGTGTGAAAACCACAGTCAATTGGGACCGGTATCAAGTTCATTGAATCATCTATCCTTTGGACGGAGTCAAAGTTCCAAGGTGTCCAATACATCTCGATGTCAAACTGAATCGGTGACCAGTGCGACAACCACGAAGGCGTGCGTTTGGTTCTTCCTGGTTGGTTTGGAATCAGGGTTTTTAGCCGGTCACCCTAGGTGAATTATCAGTAGTTTACCGACAGTTATAGCCCTGAATGCTAGATTTTCATTCTCTCAATTTGGTTTGAAAACACCCCACCACGAGAAGACACTAAGTAGAGCTTCCTCAACGTATCGGGAAGGTTGACCAGTCATTACGCAGGACACCCACCCCCGACCGTACTGAAAACTATCCCCAACACATCTTAGTGCATGAGTTTCTCGCGAACAATCTCCCCTGGCGTTCGATTCATAATGTAACCATCATTTGATTCTGAAAGCATATTTCTACTTTCATTCGGTCGTGTTTCCAGTGTAGATCGCGAGTTCGTGTATTGTGACAGCGTGAGTGTTTGTAAACATAGCGATTGTTAATTCACTAAAGCCTTAAAGAATTATAAAAACCCTATAGGGTGCTGCTGTAAACCGGTCTATAACGGTACACGTTTCCTGTCACGTGATGAGTCATAGACTATTTCACTGGTTTCATAGGGTGTAAATAAAGCATCAAAGAAATTGTTACCCCATGTGATGCATGAAATTGACACTAAGCATTTACCTCTTACAGCGAGGTGATAATGATCGTGCCATACAGTATTAATTGTGAGTGTATGCCCCGGTGGTTTCGCATATGGTGGTTTTTTATTGTTTGATGTATGTAGGTTACAATTCTTTTACTCAGCCGACGCTGGCAGTGTAGGTAACACAAAGGATCACACACACACGATTGGGATCAGCTAACCGTAAACCAAGTTTCCTCTATCTCTTGATTAAATCTGCTGAGGCAATATCTTTTGTTAGCATCAAACTGATATCTCTTAGTCTTATTTATAGTTTTTTTCGTGATACCAAACCTTCCTTTCTCCACCATATGGCATTGTTCGTTGTGCAGACTAATGAGGACCATGCTACCCGTTTATTTGAGGTGTGTTGGTAATGTTTGGATCGGAAGTAACACCGAAGGTTGTATGTTTATCTTTATATACACTCCCACTAACTACAGTTCTGATGCACCAAAGGACGGATTTTCCGACAAACTTACTGAACCCACCGTCTAATCACAAAATCCGATACATGTTAGCTATCTGATAACTTCAAAGTTCAGAGGCTCGTCTAAGAGATCATTATGCCCTCCTCTCGTGGCGATCGCATCGCGGTAACTCACTGCCGCAGTTCTGCACAGCCCACTGATTGGTCTTGCTTAGCACCATCTCCCAACATAGTTCACAATGATTGGTAATATGGAGCTCCATCTGAACCGGCAAGCTGACCCCAATTTACCAAATATCAGTAAGCTACCGTTGGTGTGGTTCAGTAGACAATTAAAAGTTGCTTTGAGTCAGATCACGCTCTAGTTTGATGCGCTCTACTCTTTCTCGTTGTTCACCTGTGGATCGTCAAATTATCGACAACTGTTGCAGTGGATACGCAACACACGAGGTTGGTGTATCTGGATCAGCGAAATAACCAGGGTCAAAAATGGACAAACCGTTTACAGTAAAGATCAATATCTGGTTTGCCGAGCAGAGGAATTTCGCGAAAATGTCTGCCTGCTCAATTTTTTTGTTACACACATTTGTGTGGTGATCAGCAGACGGGGTAAACCCTATAGTCACGAAGACCTGCTGCTCCGTCATGGAAACCGGTGACCTAAGCCCCGGGACTTGGAGTGGCGAACCACATAAGGCCCCACCAATGCCATCTAGTTTACTCTAGAAACTGGAATTAAAGCCTATTGGCCGGCGTCATATGAACCACCAACAAAGTTAGAAGTACGAAGTTGTTTCCAAGCGGTAAAGTAAGAGGAAACAACCAGCTATGAAGGGTTTTCTGACCATGTTTTCGAGGTAGGTGACGAATCCCTCGTATGTTATTACTCTTGACGCAGAACATCTGGTCAGTGAAGCGTTTCCCATCATCTTGTGTTTGTATGAAAAGATTCTGCAAAAATCGCCAGTACATGAGTTTGATCCCATTAATTGTCGACTTTCGTAATACTTCTCAGGGAAACGAATATGTGAACAGCAGACAGGATTCTGGTCGGGTCGTGGTTGCAGTGCATGAAATGTTTCAGTTCTCCCATTCATTGTTGACGAAATACCTTGGTGTTTTATTTCATTCAGTGGCCCGTTTCGATTGATCGTGGAACTGTATTTGTTTCGCTTCGTATTGGACACACCTGTGTGATCAGTAGCAGATAGTTGCGATAACCTGCTATTCAATTTCCGCAACCAGTAGCCCAAGTCCAGTTACTTGGAGCACCGAGCCACACAAAGCCCCGTTAGGTTGGGCGTGGTATTGAACTGGACAACAGCAAAGCTGCCTACCACCAAAATTGGGTGGTTTTAGAGGAGTTCGAACCTCAAACCATGGAGTCCAAAGCATGCCGGTAACAGCGACTATGCTCGATAGATTCTTGCGGAATAAGGAGTGCGTTTGTCACCAACAGCCGTGTTCGTCAAGGATGCCCTATTTCACTGCTCCTCTTCTATTCAGCTGTAGACGAAATATTGGAGCACGCCATAAATAGTCGCATAAATCTTGGTGTTGATTGGAAAAGTGGAGAAAAACGGTTTGATTTGCAGAGCGCTGGCCAAATCGTCCGTCAGTTTGACAGTAAACGAGATGCATAAGGTACATGTGACGGACTCAAACGTCGCTCCTATCGGTTCGCGCTTTGCACCTAGAAAGCGGCGAGTGCTACTGCAAGGCTGTGAGGTGACCGCACACAATCCCAAGGCTCACGCAGTGCATGCATGGCTGAAATAACTGTGGCATTGACATCTCATCTCATTGAATCTTATTTTGTCAAAATGCGATCAATTCTGCTCCACGGCTGTGGGACCTTGAAGTTGCGGGTACAAGACTAGGGGTTTCCGGCAATTGGTGATTACGCAGTTCGTTACCGGGAGGATAGATCGAGCATATGGTTAACTTTGGGGTATACCATCGTGTGTGGGAATATTTCCTTGAAAAATTCGTCATCACATCAAATTTGATTGGGTGAACTTCGCTAGTTAGGAAACGTATTGTTTCCCTAACAGTCATCCACCGCACTGCGTAAATTCCAGTTGTTGCTTTGAGGTGAAGAGAACTACATACAGACGGGGAATGATAGGGCGTACAAGATCAGATAGTGTAGTGATCTCGCGTCTTCTGATTCGGGATTTAGAAGACTAACTTTTTGGTTCGATACACTGAAGGACATGGTGGTGAAGCAACATCAATACCACTTTTACCTAAGAACACAAAACACGCGAACTTTCCGTGTCGCTCTAGATCCCTTGATGACGAATCAACGTCCTTCCCCTATTTGAATGCTGACACTTATCTCCGACTTCCCAGAGTCGTAGAACCCGGGGTGTGTGTGACAGTTTCAATAAGTGTGAACACTTGCCCCTGTCGTATTTCTATTCAACTGATGGGTGGTCAATAGATGTGAATTTTTTTCTGTTGTGGTGTTTATGAAGAAATGCAGCGAAGTCCGTTTTAGCCCAAATCGTGTAACGTAGTGATGCTGTCATCTTTTCCCAAATTCATCTCGAAAAATAAATTGTTAAGTTCGATTTATCATATTGAGTCAAAACAGTTTTTTTTAGTATGTCGTGTTAGACCATAAGGAACTCAAGAATGTATAGTCGAAACTCATGAACATAACCGTTTCCAAATCGGGGTGCAAGTTCATAAGAGCGATAACGTTCATGGTTCTATGCAAATCGGGTACTATTTCTGCTGATCGAGAACATGCTTTCAGTAAATTCATCCTAAATTAAGTACAATCACAGTTGTACGAGTCACGTGAGTTATAATAAGCGCAAAACCAGGAACTGTGCACCCAACAAAAGTTGATTTAAGCACTCGATTCGTTTTTAAGTTAGTTTATTTGTTCGCGACCTTTAATCACGTTTTCCTCCCATTTGCTCTCAATTACAGGCACCAGATGTCTTCTGCGACGAGCTAACTGGTGTAAACATCGTCCTCAGTACAAGCAATACTTCCCATCACAACTTACTGGCTTCAGGACCGGAAACTGGTTCTAATTTAACCGCTCGTGCTCCAAATAGTTCATTGGTTGTGCTGACACGAATGGATGCTCGGAGCATGTTTGAACGTAGTGGATTCGGTAGCCAAGGTGTACTTCCCGGTGTGGCTGTCCTTTTATCCACCGCGGTGCATTTACTTCGTCAACCGGCCTTTAAGGTAAGTTGTTTATCGTGAGATTAAATCAAGCAGTGGTTTAAGCTTTTTTCTGTTGCATTTGCACCTTGTGAATGGAATTGAAGGACCATGATAAAACCGACCATTGTAAAGTATGCTATGCACATATATACGCCTTTTGTGAGCACAACTGATGTTACAGTTTGTACACGGAGGAGAGGGAGAAAAATTCGGCTTAATTGCAATGATCAGAGCTTGGCGCACAACGGGTAAAACGAACTGCCTTCGTCGCTTTATATTTTTCGCTA